TAAAAAACTTGATCCATTAACTATTATTACTACAGTATATACATTTTTTGTTTTTTCATTAACTCATAGGTTGTAACTTCAAGCCTTTAAGTTTTATCATTCTTTAATAAAGCACAAATTTAAAAAATTAAAGAAAGCAATAAATAAAAAAAAATATAAAAAAAATAAAAATAAAAATAAAAACTAGTATTTATCTTTAGTTCAGATTCAGTCCAGATCTTAATTCTCTTGCACTATTTGACATTTCTAGAAACCTACAAAATAAAAAAAAATTAGTAAAAATAATAAAAAACAAAAAGAATAAATGAAATAAATAAAACTAGAGACTGGTAATTATTTTTAGTTTAGTTCTAATTTTATTTAGTCTAAATCTTAATCCTTTCACTACTATTTAACATTTCTAAAAACTTACAAAAAAAAATTAGAAAAATAAAAAATGAAAAAAATAAATAAAAAGAATAAATGAAACTAAAGACTAGTATTTATTTTTAGTCTAGTTCTAGTTCTATTTAGTTCAGATCTCAATTTCTTTAGTGCTTCTACAAAGAAAAAAAAATTAGAAGAATAGAAAACAAAAAGAATAACTGAAACTAAAGACTGGTACTTATTTTTAGTTTAGTTCTAATTCCATTTGATCCAGATCTTAGTTCTCTCAGTACCATTTGACATTTCTAGAGACCTATAAAAGAAACTAAGACTGATATTTATCTTTAGTCCAGTTCTAGTTCTATTCAGCCTGGATCTTAATTCTCTGGTATTATTTAACATTTCTTGAGATCTACAAAAGAATGAAAAAAATTATTAAGAATGAAAAATAAAAAGAATAAATGAAACTAGAGACTGGTACTTATCTTTAGTTCAGTTCTAGTTCTATTAAGTTCAGATCTCTATTCCTCAGCACCAATTTAACATTTCTTGAAACTTATAAAAAAAAAAGATCTAGTATAAAAAATAAAAAATAAAAAGAACAAATAAAACTACAGTAAAGACTAATACTTATCTTTAGTCCAGTCCTAGTTCTATTTAGTCCAGATCTCAATTTTTTGGTGCCATTTAACATTTCTTGCTTTAGTAGAATAAAAACAAAAAGAATAAACATAACTACTTATTTTTAGTCCATTCTGGTTTTTTCAGAAATCATTTGCAGTTTTATTTTCTAGTAAAGAATAACAAAAAAAAAAGTTAATAAATAAATAAAAGAAAACTATCTATAAAAAAAAATTAATAATGTAATAGTGAAAATAAATTGCAGTATTGTATATAAAATAAAGGCAAAAAACAGTTTTTTCTAATTATCATAAATCATAAATCTTTATGATACTGTCAAACTGAAATTGCAAATATAGCTTCAGGTGCCTGAAGTTGAAACTAACTAAAGGTTTAAATTATTTAATTGTAATCAATTAAAAAGGTGTACCAGTATTTCTAATCAAATTAGCCAATTATATATTAGTATTAGATCATATAATAGAGGCATGCTTCTGAACCCTGTGCTCCCAATTCTAGCTATACTTACCTATTATTTTCTAATAAGGTTAACTATTGTTGCTATTTGTTGTTTAGTATAATATAACTTGTTGTTTTGATTTTGTTTATATTATATACTAGTTACATGCTTCAATTTTGTTTTTCTAAGTCTAATATAGGTTTTTAATTTTTTTGAAATTTTTTTAAAAAACTTTAAAAGCTAGCTAAAATTTTATTTAACAAAACTATACTTATATTGTTGTTAAAATAAAGTAGTTGTATTTTGTTTGCCAAGTATTTTTCTTAGAAGTTAAAATAAAGTTTGTTAAGCCATTTTTGTAGTTTTCTATATATTTGCTTTAGCTTTGTTTGGAAATTAAAAATTAATGAAGAGAGTTCATTCTGTTTTGAATTATATTATAATAGTATTTAATTTTATATTATAAAAAAATAATATATATTATTTATAATCTAAAAATAGAAAATTTAAAAAAAAATTTTTAATTAAAAAAATTATTTACAAATTTTTAGTAAACTTTTTAAATATTAATTTAAATTTATAGTTCTTAATACAATATTTTAGTTTATATAAAAGATAATAATTTTTTTTTAACTTTAATAATACTGTTAGTTTGTTTATTAGATTCTAGATTTTATATAATACAATTTATAATTATATTTTACAAAATTAATTATTATTAGTACTATATTAGTTATTTTAATTTTTAGTTTACTAATCTTATTTAATTATCTATATAATATCTAAGTTTATGTTTGTTGCATATTTTATATATAATTATTATAATAATTATTTGTACTTAAAACATATTATTAAACTGCTATATAGGAGTATAGATCCCATAGCTTAGTGGTTAAACTCCCATATTCTCTACAGTCAAGATCAATGGTTCAAGTCTGGCTAAAGGCAAAATTAAAAGATTTTAGCTTCTGTAACCTAATAAGGAGCCTGTAATTGAACATGAAGCCCTGTAGTTAAAGTCCAAATGCAGTATAATGATGGAAGTAAAAATTCCCAAAAGGAGACCCAATCATGAAGTAGAGGCACTATGCATAACAAGTAGTTGTTACAGAAGGTAATGGTTATAGAAGAATTGCACATGTAAGTCCTTTAGGCTAAAGCAACACCAACATCCTTATACCTCCTAATATAGGCAATACCAACATCCCTGCATCTAACTTGCGAGGTACTTGCTTGGAAGGATAATCAATAGATTGTGCAAATAAGTCTTAATTGGGATCCAAGAAGAGGATATGATTGGGAAAGTAATCTGAAAAATAACCAAGACTGGAATGGTGAGAGAAGCAGTGAATACAAGGATGGACTGTGATAAAGAATTGGTCTAACCAAAAATTGGAAGCATCTCTGGCACAGTCAAATAATCTAATTATAGAAGAGAAGATCTTGGAGGTAGGCATATAACTTTCTTGTACAATGTAAAAGTATCAAATTGGGTTTTGGTCATACCTATATGGAAGTTTATGATGAACAAGACTAGGGATTAACCAACCAATATGAGATAAGATCTGCAAAGTAGTATGGCATCATTAGAGTCAGTGTAACTTCTTGGGCATAACCAGAATTGTCCTGCAAGTATTGTTGAATAAGCTGGAAGCTTGCAATATATAGTAGTATGGTATCATTAGAGTTAAAAGAACTCCCTAGATATAATCAAAATTGTTCTGTTTGTAAATGCAACAAGTTCCAGTCTTTACTATAAAAGGAAGCACCATGTTGAAGATTAAATGTAGCATTAAGTTACTGTATAATGTTAAAACCTGGGGCATCTGCAGAAATGGTGATAGCAAGTTTGGCTTGAGATACGGATTGGTTAAAAAGACCAATAGCAGTAGCAAATTTGACTTGAGATACAGATTCATTGCAGATCCTGAACTATTGTCAAAACACCTTAGAGCAGTGTTGTACACAGATACTGTCCATGCATATTTCTTGGACATAGACATATTTGAACATTGTCCAATGTCCATGTCCACTTATATGTTCAAACTTTTAGATTGTCACCAGATGTTGTCCATATGATATAATATGAATACAGATGTTTAGCAGACAGTGTCTGCTGAACATTGCCCAATGTTTAAGCATTTAATTGGCTGATGCATCAGAAGTATCTATGACAAAAATTAGACAATATTCAAATATTCATACATTGTGTCTAAAAAAAGTCTTGTGCCTGCTCATATAAGCATTACTATTATAAACCATTTTCATAATGATTGATAGTATATATTTTATTATTTTTGGCAAGTCAAAATTTTTTTTGCGATAAATATATTTATTTAACAAACAAAAATTTTATTATGCATAAAGTATGTAACAGGACTTAAAAGACTATATTGAAATGCCAGCCATTCAAAATACATAGTAAATAATAAGATGAATCAAGAAAAACATTCAACAATAGGCTGCAGGCCAGCAAATTACTATAGAATTTTAAGCCCTAGTATATACCTTTTCTACAATCATTTGAAATTTGTGTAAGATTAAATTTCCAATTAAAGCTAAACTGTAAGACTTAAGTTCTAATTGAGTCCTAAAAAAAGCAACCAAAGTTCTATATAGAAAAGAATATTAATGTAGTACCAGTATGTTATACATATACAGTATTGAGATCAGGGCCTCCAGATGCTAATAGCAAAAATAGTTGGCAAAAATAGCTAATGAAATTAGCAAATTTAGCAAACTAGCTTATTTTTATTAAGTATAAATTTAATGCAATTATATTTTTCTTTTGCGAGTTCTTCATCTATCATTTCAGTGAGTTCTTCGGTCATTATCTAAAATATGCATATAATTACTTGTTTATGTAAATCAGTTCAAGAAAAAGGTAATAATCCCATGTTTAGTGCAAAAGTAGCAAATTTCACATCTTAGCACAAAACAATTGCTAATAGCTATTTTGCTAAAAAATAGTGCTATTTTAGATGCTACAAAAAAACATCAGAAGGCTCTGAAATGAAATAATGATAATGTATAAAACCTGTTTAATAAACAAAGTCGAATGAGTTAATAATGCATGAACTTAATTAATGAATAGAGTCAAGAATGAATGATAATGCATAAAACCTAATTAATGAATAGAGTTAAATAAGCTGATAATACATATAGCATATAATGCAAAGCTGAAGTCCTCATCTGTTTTTCATGAAGTTTGCCTTTCTCTCACAAAGTTTGAAATTTTTTTAATAAATAACCCAAAATCTATTTTATATTTTTTTTTATTAAATACAATGCCAAATATTTATCAATAATGAAACCAATCTTATAAACATACCAAAGTCTATTATACTCTGCTGAACCTGTATCTGATGCTAAAAGAATTTTTTTTTAAAAAAAAAACAAAAAACAGTTGCTAGCTAAAAAAAACAGTAAAATAGTAATGTTACCAATACCTGATTTGTTAGAATGATACATAATTAAAACCAAAGAAAAGATTAATAAAAGTAACTATAAAGTTTACTGTAAGGTGTGTATTGATATATTGGATAATGATAAGATGGAAGTTTTTGTTCCAAATAAAACAGATAGGATAATTACACACCTCAAAAAATGTACACATTTTATGAAACAAACAATACCTAAGAAGAAAGAAAAAGTCTTTAACTTATCCAATGATGAACAATCAAGTATGAATAGAAAAAAAGTCTATTTTAAGCAGTGTGAAATATATATTTATATGCTCAATTTCTCTAGGTTCATATAATATCATGTTTATCTCATCACAATCATCTACCTGAAAGAGCATTGTACGATCCACTTCTTTTGGTCTATTTGACAACTATTCTGTTTGTCCATTGTTACAACAAAACTATGAAAAATTTAAGGTTCTTTTGCTAAGACTAATGGTATCTTGCGGTTGGGTTTTTAATTGAATAAACAAGCCTGAAGCAAGTGAGTTATTTGATTTTTTGAACCCTTTTATAAAGCTTCCAGATCACCAGACTCTTAGTGGACCAACTTTAGAGGTGGCAGTTTCTGAATATGATAGGGGAATGTTTGAAGCTCTTCAAAAAGATTCAATTAGTGTTACTTTAATGTTCAATGGGTGGATGAACATTAATAATGAACAATTAATAGGTACAATGTTAGTAACTTCAGTGGGGAAACCCTATATTTGGAAGGTGACAGATATTAGTATGGAGAGAGAAAGTTACACTAAAGTAATAAAAAAAAAAAAAAGAAATGATTGATGAGTTAAAAAAAATAAATATAAAGATCATTGCAATTGTAACAGATAGTGCGGAGCCATACACTGTGACTAGGTATTTTCATTTTTCTTCTGATTTATATTAGCCTATAATTTAATTATATATATTATTATTATTATTATTAGATGAAGATTAAGGTCTATTCACAGAAATATTGTATTCTTGCTCTGTTATGCCCACCAATTAAACCTATGCATAGGTGAAGTTTTTAAGAAATCAACTGATTTAAAAAGCACAATAGATAAAGTGATTCAGCTAGTCATGTATTTTAATAATGCTAATAATAAATATTTTATCGGGCAATTACATGATCAATAAAAAATAAACTACAAGAAGTATTATAGTATAGTAGTTCCAAGTAAAACTAGATAGAACAGTTACTATTTACTTGTTACTAGTCTTTTGAAAACCAAGCAAGCATTACAGGTATATTAATAAGGTCATACAAATTTAATGAATTGGTCTAGTTAGATCAAATTTTTCGAAACTTTAATTAAAAATTTTAAAAATTAAAAACCAGGTTGCTGGGTCATTTTTAAAATTTTACTTTGAGAATTAATAATAAAAATTAGATTAATTGTTAATTGAGGCTTTTATATATTTTTATTTTAGATTCTCAGGATAAATTTTCAACCACCCTATTCCCAAAATTGATGAAAATCTGGTGAAAATCTCTCAATTCATCCTGAAATTTTTTAAACCATCAGATCAGATTCATTTTGGTCTAATCTAGTAATAATCATGAAAATTCTATATCCTTATTGTAAAATACTAAATAGATTGCAATGTGATAATGCCAAATTAATCCATGTTATGCATAGTCTTGCATATTTAGTTCAATTTTGAAATAATCATGCTAACTTACAACTTTCTGAAAAGATATTAAATAGGTTAGAAAAAAGGTAGAATAACTGAGAACAACCTCTTCTTATTTTAGCATGCTTATTACATCCTAAATATCGATTATCTTACTTTAAAGACCAATCAGTAATTAATTATTCAAAATTTGGAAAATATCTGATTTATTACTACAAAGCTTGGTCAAGAAAAGAATCTACTTGCATTTTGAGAGAATTTAATAATTTTTTTAACAAAGCTTATCTGTTTGACGATAATACTTATAGCCAATTTAATGATATATTAAGTTATTGGAATTATGCTAAGCCTTCAACAAATGAATTAGAATTGGTAGCATGCCAATTGTATAAAATTTGTATTAATTCTGCCACTGTTGAGCATCTTTGGAGTTGTATGAGTTTTTTTCAAACCAATTGAAGAAATCAATTAATTGTAATTTTTTTTATATTTTTTATTTATTTTTTATAGCTGTTTTTAAAATATTAAGACATATAAAAGTTATTAATAATGGCTGATTTTGATAAGTTTTTTAACAATATAGTCAACTCTTCAAAATCTCGAACTCTTAATAAGCTTTGTAAAAAAGCTTTAGAACATTTGTAAATTTTATTACAAAGTTCAGATTAGCAACATAGTAACTGAATTTTGGCATATAGGAACAGACTATTCAGAATAGAAAGTTGACTACAACTCACTTTTGTTATAGTAAAGTTGTCAAGATAAAAAAAAAACTTCACTATAGCTTATATCGAGAGAATACTATGTACTTCACTATATCGAGTTGAAGTTTAATAATTCCGTAATTCAAAATTTTTCACTATATCGAATCTTTACTATAACGAGAGTAAGTTGTATAATCTTAATAGTATATAACTACTTTTTGTGAGAATTTGAATTATTCAGTCTTTTCATCTAGTTTAGTTCTTTTATCTTAAGAGGGCATATTTTGTCAATAATAAGGTATCTTGCATTATAATTTCAATACATTATAGCTTGAATATCTTGATTAACACATATCTCATTCTACTCAACATATTTAGAATATATCCGTCATGATATTTTAAAAACAGTTGTAAATTTTATAATTTTTTTTTTTTTTCTAAATAAATTTTTATTTAGTTGCAAAAGGCTCTTAATATGAGCAAATTAAAAGCTTCTATCACATGAGAACATTCATACAAGTCAGACCCTGTTGAATTACCTCTATCCAGTTTTCAAAATGAATACAATACAAAGAATAATGATCAACCAAATATAAATTACGAAAAATTGAGTAAAGAATGTGCAGAACCCAATGAATCTGCAAATCTTGCTTTGGATAAAACAATTGATAACAAGACTTTGGAATTAACTTCTTTGAAAGAGTTCAGCCAATTTTTAAATGCATAGATCGAAATATCGAAAAATGAGATTGATGAAATTGCACAAATATATGAAGATGAGAATAAGATATTAACTTCGAAAGTTAAGAATATCATTCATCTAGCAACAGATCCAAAATCTAAATGGGATTTAAAGGTCCTATTTAATGAATTACAATTATTTTTTAACATATGTATACATGTGTATATATATATGCACATATATATTTGTTTATTTAAATTTTATATGTATATTTAAATTATATATATATGTATTATTATTATTATTATAAAATAAAATATCCAAATTTCTTTCTAGTTTAGGTAATATACCCAAATTTGCAAGATAATACATGAACAATTTATGGAATTACACCTAAAGTTTTATCAAGGGTTATTCATCATGGCCAATATTTAGCACTATTAGTTAGATGTGATTATTGTAGAAAAGGAGGTTTTTTTAATTGTTTATTTAACTAGGTTTTATATCAATATCGGGTAAGCGTAAAAGTTCACTATTTTGTAGACGACATATAATTTTCTTTGCCAATATTAATGACTTCGATAATTGAAACCAGGTAAGCATATTATTGACATCTTGTACTATGATCTTTTTTAAGTTATATAGAGTGCAGCATTCACAAGATTTTTTAATTCAATTTAATATTTAATTAGAATCTTTGAAATGAGCATTATTTGTTATTTTTGGTTTGGTAAGTCTTATGATTAATATACTATATAAGTGCCATTAAGAGAAATCAGTCACCAGGGTTTCAAGTTTACTGTTTACTGGACACAATCTCTAACAACTTGGATAGATTGAGTCCAGTAAGCAATAAACTTGAGACCTCTGATGACAGGTTTTTCTTTTGTGTCCAGATTAAAATATCTGTTATATTAATGATATATGATTTTATACATAGTGATAATTATAAAGAGATGGTGAATGTTCCAGGGCACTACAGAAGTTTTGAGATTTATTTTTGTTTAATTTTTCATATAAATTCTCAAGTAGGTTTTCAATATTATTTGGTAAGCTTTTTTTATATAATATTGGTTATTCGTCTATATTAAGTTTATTAATGTTTTAAATTTGTGAATAAGCTTTTGATTTTTATCTTTAATATATAGATGCTGATAATTAGTCAACATTAGAATTTAACAGTCAGATTAAAATTATAAATTAATTTGAAACTTATTTCTTCTAGTTGATTAATATTCTTAAAAGTTTTAATAAACATACTATTTTTCTTAGAATGAATCCAAAAATATTATTTTTAATATTATTTGTAAGAGTTTCAAAGTTAAAAATCCATGCTAGTGAAATAAGTAACACATTTGTTCTTTAAAATAAACTATTTACAAATCTTATTTATTTTCAATTTAAGGTCTGAATAAATGAATTAAATTTATTCATGAAATAGAATCTTCAGATCAGGGATGTTATTGGCTTATTTGGCTCTATTCATTAATTGGTTTTTATAATATAGATGCTAACAAAAGAAGACCTATTATCGGGTTTTCAATTATATTTTTGTAATGAACTCAAACTATTTGATTTATTAGTAATTATGTCCGATACAAAATATAATTAAAAGTCTAATGACAGGTTTTCTTTTAATGGCACCCATATAGTTAAATATACAGGCCAGGTCAAGCTGATAACATCTCTACTTCAGACACTCTCATTTCATTCTCTTATACGATTATTCGTAATCACAAATTTAGCTCCTACTTATTTCTGAAATTTAACTTTGAAAACCCAGTGTACAATTTTGAAAGTGACATTAAATCTGCAAGTTATTCTCAACCTTTTAGTATACGATTAATTGTTTAATGTAAATAAATTATTTATTTTTAATAATTTTATTTAAATCCACAAATAATTCTTTATTGTAAAATAAGTTTTTCATGATTGCTTAATGTAAGCACAACATTAGTTCAGTTTTTATTAAATTCATATAAATATATACTTGTGCACATATGATCTAGATATTGATGCTAATTTTATGATCTTGTTAGCTTACAAGAATTGTTGTGGAACAGAATCTATACAAATCCTACCAAATTAATTACACAGAAAATCTTGGCACAATTCATTGCAAATCTTAATCGCAAGTCAGTATTAAATAGTAATCATCAAAAGGTTTTTGTCCAGTTGAAGTCTTCGATATGATGACTTCAAAACTGTATCAGCTGCTCATGTGAAAAATTTACCTTGTAAGACTTCTGTAGTAATATACAGTAAGATATAACTCTTAGACAACCCTAGATCTGAAATGTGTTTCTTAATAAAATGATGCCATTATGTTTCATATAAGTAACAAACTTTATAAATAAATTAGTTGAGATTTTTTAAGAATGTAATAAATAAACAGTTTACTTCTTTTATTTTTTTTATTTTTTTATTTTATTTTATTTTTTTTTTAAGTTAAAGTCCCTATCTTGGGAGTTGCAATGTTTTTATTCAAGTATATTAGAACACAGCATGCCACCAAGGGCTTACCTTACATTGGAAATTACAACTAACTACACGTGCACTTTTGATGCCTAATTTAAGTAGTTCACTTACACATTACTATATAAGTTCTATACTAGTTGCCATACTTGCAAGCCAACTAGGAGTCTTGCCTATTTAAACCCTCTGCATATGCAATCCTCCTTGTATCATAGGAACATCTCAAGGTGCTGCCCATCCAAGTTCCCGATGCTTATCGGTCTCTTTAGGACTACTTTATCCTCGATAGAAAATTACTAGAGCCTTTATGTCTCATACATCTAGACCTAATTTTATGCAACATGCTATAGTTATCTAACACTTGCAGTTACAG